GAAAAACAAAACACAACAATTTATATAGTAAATGCGTGTAACTAAAAAGACTAAAAGAGTGAGAGAAAATGGAGTACCTTGACGAGCAGCTTGAGATAGACATCGTCGGACTTCGGGGCAGTGCGTTTGGTCTGCTTGCTTTTGCCGCCGGCGACCAAATCTATACCCATTGCTACTGCAGCTGCTCCTGACACGGATGATGACGCTAGTAATTAGGGCTTTATAGGTGCAAAAATGGAAGACGCTGAGTTAGGGTTTTAGATTCGCCAAATATTATTTTAGCCCCGATATTTTTTACTCATTCACAAATTTCTCTTACCCTTTTTTTTTTTTTTTTTTTTTTTTTAAGAAAAGGAACTTAATGCATTAAATCATCAGAAAGCAAATCAACAAGAAAAGGGGGAGGGATGTCCACCCATTCTCCGCAATTTGACATAGAAACGACTTCCCGAGTAACAGAGTGGACAGCAGAATTCGCAAATCACTTAACAAAATGGAAAACTATACCATATAACAAAGATGTAGTTTCTTTAATGTCCTTTACTAAAATACCTAGAGCAGAATTAAAAGGAGCCGCAGAAATAGCATGATAAACAATTTGAGAGTCAGTCTCAACGTCAACATCTCTCACACCCATTTCCTTAAGCCAACTGAGTGCCTCCCGAATACAAACTACTTTGGCTTCAGTCACGCTAAAATTGCCATGCATTTTGACCCCCTTCGCTGCAATGAATCGCCCTTCATCATCTCGAACAACTCAGCCCAACCCCGTGATTTTGTTTGCATGGTCTAAAGCTGCATCCGTGTTCACCTTCAATTGCCCAGCATCTGGCTTCCTCCACAGCACAGGCTCGGCCGTATCCCCAGCAGGCAATTCCACCGCATTTGCACTTCTATAATTTGCCCATAAAGATAGGGACATATTAATCATAGCATCCACTACAAACGAAACTCCCTTCCAAACACAATCATTCCTAGTGCTCCAAAGACCCCAACATAACATCACCATCTTGCACAGTAGCTCGTTACTAAGGGATATGCACCACTGTTGGCAATCTGTCAAATCACCATGGATATGCACCATTGTTGATAGCCCTACTTTAGGCCAAAGTGTCTTCACTTCTTGACAGTTCACAAACAAATGGTAAGCAGGTTCCACCACATGGCCACACATATGACACATTAGAAAACAAGGCACTTCTTCACATTAAGAGCATCTCCAGTGGGCAAAAAAGACCATGCTAACTGCCAGCAGAAAACTTTCACTTTGGGCGGTGCCTGTAGTTTCCATATTTTCGTCCAAGGGCGACCATCCTAAATATCCCACATTAATTGCCTATAACAAGACTTGACAGTGTAATCTCCTTTAGGGTCCTAATGCCAAATCCAAGAGTCCGGTGTCTGTGTAATCTCCTTTTTTTTTTCTAAGTGCAAGGGATGAAGGGAATGGACAAGGGAGTCTCGAGAGTTACTGAGAGCTTCTTGTTGCTTTTGCTTTTCATTTGATTTTGCTTTGTTGGAAAAATAGCATTAAAATGGCTTTTTAAGTGACTATTTTGTGGTACAATTATCAGTGGGGTCCACTTCTGATTTGGGTCGGGTCAAAGTGGATTCGAGTTCTTCGTAGTGAGACGAAAAGATTGATATATTGTACGCTCAAAACGCACTACAAGAAAAATGCACATAGACAACGGTTAATAGCCGTTGTCGTAGGGGTATAATTTCTGTTGTTGAAGCCGGTGTTGTTGTAAGTCCCGCGCATAGACAATGGTTTTTTAACCGTTGTCTTTTCTAGAAACAACAACGGTTTTTTAACCGTTGTCTATTAAGTGTTGTTGAAGCCGGTGTTGTTGTAAGTCACGCACATAGACAACGGTTAATAACCGTTGTCTTTTCTAGAAACAACAACGGTTTTTTAACCGTTGTCTATTAAGTGTTGTTGAAGCTGGTGTTGTTGTAAGTCACGCACATAGACAACGGTTAATAACCGTTGTCTTTTCTAGAAACGACAACGATTTTTTAACTGTTGTCTATTAAGTGTTGTTGAAACCGGTGTTGTTAAAAGTCACGTACATAGACAACAGTTAATAACCGCTGTCTTTTCTAGAAACGACAACGGTTTTTTAACCGTTGTCTATTAAGTGTTGTTGAAACCGGTGTTGTTAAAAGTCATGCACATAGGCAATGGTTTTTAACCGTTGTCTTTTCTATAAACGACAACAGTGTTTTAACCGTTATCCAATGTTGCAAAAATCGCGCCTAGGCGCTAGGTGCCATTGCGCCGCCGCGAGGAACGGCCTCCGCGGCCTCCTCCGCGGCCGGCCGCCTAGACCGCCTAACCGGCCGGTTCGGCGGTTTTTTTTTTTTTTTTTGAAAATGTCGGAAAAGTTTCGGAAGGCATAACTTTTGACTCGGTTGTCCGATTTGGACAATTTTTTTTTTTCAAATCGCGTATTTTTTCGAGATCTATCCACCGCAAACAGCCGAAGGCGGTTTGGTCCACTAATTTCTCAAAAAAATGCTTCTTTAGCTCTTAATTTTAGTTTTTTATGTATTTAGATGGTTTAAACAATCTTTTGAACACTTTTACAACCACTTTCGTAAATAATTTCTAAGAAATAACTATAGAAACCTTATGTTTTATTACTAAATTTTAAAAATTTTTAATTTTTAATTTTATTTTTAATTAAAAAAATAAAAAAAATAAAAAAAATAAAAAAATAAAAAATAAAAAATAAAAAATCGGCGCCTAGGCGCCCCCTTGGCGCCTAGGGGGCGCCTAGCGTGTTTTGCAACATTGCTGTTATCTATTAAGTGTTGTTGAAATCGTTGTTGTTAAAAGTCACGAACATAGACAACGGTTTTTAACCGTTGTCTTTTCTAAAAAAGACAACAGTTTTTGACCCGTTGTCTATTCAATGTTGTTGAAACCAGTGTTGTTAAAAGTGATGCACATAGACAACGGTTTTTAACTGTTGTCTTTTCTTTAAACGACAACAGTTATAAACAGTTGTCTATTGTGTGTTGTTGAAATCGCTGTTGTTAAAAGTCACGCCCATAAATTGTTGTCTTTTGTAGAAAAGACAACAGTTTCAAACTGTTGTCTATTGTAAAATAAACCGTTGTCTCAACCCATTTTTAACCTGCTTAAAGTTTAATCATATAAAAAAATCAATTTATCCATTCACCATGGCCAAGTGTAGTTACATAATTTTGAAGAAGCTGAGCAAGGTTCAAAATAACAAGTCAAAATACTTTCATTACCAATTCTAATCGAATCATCATCCAAGTTATAATACTACAAAAAACAATTCTACGAACCAAGTCTAAATGATTACAACGTCAAATCATACCTACTCTATATAACTTGATAGAATATCGGCCCATTCTGAACGCACCAGATCAGTAACCGCTTTGTCATAATCAACTTGTTGGAACTACATGTAAAAAGTGAGTAAATAAATTAGTATAGATATAATAAATTTGCAATGAAATGCGAACATGGGAGGTATTTATACACTACACAACAATAAAAGTAAACCATTGATGCTATAGAAATGATACAAAGAAACAAAAAAAGTGGGAAAAGTATGCAACACTTGCTCCACCAAATACCTAACATTTAAAGGAGAGAATTTACTTAGATTCAATATAACTAAAAGAGTAAAAGACATTTTTGGTCCTAGACTTATAGTGGCTTGGACAATTTTAGTCCTTTATAAAAAAATTTGCCATTTTATGGACGGAGTTATTGTGGCGAGGACATTTTTGGTCCTCCGTCTATATTTCGAGGGCATTTTTGGTCCCCCGTCTATATTTCTGTTAGATAACCGTATGAGAGAGGGGCAATTACGTCAATTTAGGCTATCTCCTTCTATCTATTATATCAATGTGTGTTTGGCGGCTTCGATTCTCCTTCTATCTATTTGATTAGTAACATGTTTGGCGGCTTCGATTCTCCGGCAATTTCTTCGTACAACTGCAACTTGGACTCTCCGACTCCTTCGAATTATGATCGAGAAGAAAACAAAACACACATAGATATAATAGATAGAAGGAGATAGCCTAAATTGACGTAATTACCACTCTCTCGGACGGTTATCTAACAGAAATATAGACGGAGGACCAAAAATGTCATCGCCACAATAACTCTGTCCATAAAATGGCAAATTTTTTTATAAAGGACTAAAATTGTCCAAGCCACTATAAATTTAGAACTAAAAATGTCTTTTACTCTAACTAAAAATTAGTTACTCCACCAATAGAACAGTTGCTTACAATAACAGGGGTAGTAATTAGATGTAGAGTTTCTGCAACAATACTTCGTCTGTAATGTAGATCCCTTCCAACAGTGTAAGTTACCTACCCAAAATCATTAGGATAAAACAAGTTATTAAATATAGCAGAAAATTCAAAGTACTAACATTGATCACAATTACCTTGTGAATTGTCTTGACTATTTGGAAGGGCTTGAGAAGCTAATGATTTTAATTTCTATTTGTTGCACTGTAACCCTTAAAATTGGTTTTGTCATTGTAGTGTTGTCAAGGAGATAAATAGCTCATATAATTACTTTCTTTGGTTAAAAGTTAATGATTCTTCATGAATGCAAAAAACTTACTATGGCATCATTATGATTACTACTCCAGAGTATCAAAAGTTGGTAAGAGATGGTACTGAAACATGGGTTCAAGATCTATCTATTGCAAAACATTGCAAAAGAGATCTAATGTTGGTGACTGGGGCAAGCTGCCAAGCAAGTAAGTTCATATATCATCTGGTGCCTAGCTATATGGGATGATTAATATAGCAGAAAATTCCAACAATGACCTTATCTACCATGAAATTAAAATTAAAAGTTTAGAGTTGTATAGACACAATTGAAGTATTCCATTAAGACAGTATCTGCCCAACCAGTTGATCATTAAGTTGAACTATTAAAATGGCAAAAAATAAAGTAAAAATGGTAAAACTAATTTCGAATTTCTTGCACATCAATTTCACAAATAGATCTGCACATGAAACAGCTAATGACAAGATATAGAAAACCATACCGATCTGAGAAACGAGTGTTGAAGTAACCACCCAAGAATAGGTATCTTCTGTAGGAAAACTGTTGGAGGATAAAAATGTAATCCTCCCCTTCCATTTTATTTTCCTTTATTTCCCTTTTATTTCTTTCCCTTTCTTTCCCTTATATAAACAAAACCAGTGTAGGAATATTGGACTTACCATCAATAATAACTTTCTTTCTTGTTCATCTTCTGCACCTCTTCTTCGCTCCATCTCTGCCTCTTGTTTATCTCTGCTTTTTGTTCATTCAATGTAATCCCTATTCCGACATGGTATCAGAGCCGCGATCCTACGCCGTCGCCGCCGTCTCTACCTTCGCCGGCGTGAAGCAGGAGACGCTGGCTACCATTCCGATCGCACAATCTCCAGCCGCAAAATATCTGTTCGTTCGATTCCTTTCTCGCGTTGTTCCAAAGTCGGTTCCGCAGAGGAACTCGATCAACCGTGCTTTTCTTCTTCAATCCCAGGCAGCGGAGAAGATTAGTTCTACGCAGAGTAGAAATAACAAAGTCGACGCTAGATCAACAGTCCGATCAGCATCAACACTGATTCCGCAGAGGAATCCAGAAGATACGGCGATCTCCACAGCCGTTCCGCAACGGAATGGAGGAGCTCGTTCGTCTATTCCGATCAATCCGCAGAGGATTCGGGATTTGGAGCAATCAGCCGCAGCGGTTGTATATTTCCATTTCAAATACGTTCAGAGAGCCATAGCCGTAGCCGATCATCCCCCAGCCGCAGAGGAAGGAGTTCGTAGCTCACAGTGGTTGAAGCAGATGGATCAGTTCTCCGATTCAGCCACAGACGTAGCCGTTCCGCAGCGGAAGGGAGGAGCTCCGTCGATTCCGATCAATCCGCAGAGGATTCCGATCAGTCCGGACGGCAATTTGGCCAATGTGCTTGATTCGCGCAGTGCGATTTTCAAGGACCGTAGTTTGAGCTTTCCTGAGAAGAATCAGTTTCTCTGTGGACGGCCGCCTTGGCAGGGATACCAGGGCGGGAACAAAGGTTATATTGAATTTTATGATGACATGTCTGATCTCTCAATGGCGCAAGGCAATTCTGAGACAATTCTGCAGGTTCTGAGCCGACTTTCTCTGGAGAAAGAAGAACGGTTTTTGGCAAATATTTTGAGTAACATTGCAAAGGAAGGCGGAGAACATGTGTTAAGGAAGTATGCAGAATACATTCCACTCCTGTTCGAAGCTTGCAAGGATCATTCAAATCCACACATTCAACAGATGGCTGCCTGTGCAATCGGTAAATATGTTGAGTTTGATAGAGAAACATTTAAGCATCATCTCCGAGATGGACTGTCCAGCTTAGAAGCAATAATAGTATCTGGTGGATCAATTGATGATCTAGAACACTGGATAGCCAGAGATGTTGTTGTTTCTGATTTCCAGGACTGTTGGGAGAAGAACAGCATTGATAATGTGAATATAAAGACTTTGATGAAGATGAGGTCTCAGATCTTCTCAAATTGTTCTGCCTGTAAATTGAAGCTAGGAGATTTTGATGGAGCGCTGTTGCAGAGGTTGCAGCAAACCATCCGTTTGAGCTTGAACCAAATGGTATTGGGAAACTATGTTCTGAAGTTTTTTTGGTTCTGTTGTTTCACTTGAAGATATTGCTTCAGCTTATTGTAAAGCAGGTCGCGATCCTTCTATTGATGGTGACATAATCTGCAATCTGCAAGCTAGCACATCTACAACTTCAAGTTCTGAGAATACAGAGAAGAGTGACACACTTCACAATGATGTTAAGGAATTTCTGTTTAAAATGCTTGGAGATGGCTTTTCATTCAATATGAGTACGATCCAGAATGTTGTTGGTCAATGTGGAGTTGAGTTCATGATGAAGGATGATGCTTCATGTTGATGGTTTCTCTAGCAGAGCAGAATCTGATGGGTGTATAAGGAGGTCCACCATTCTTGGTGGACTCAATGAGTAGCCTATGTTTGCAGTCCTCTTTATTTTTTGTGTTTAAGCTGGGCATGTAGGACCTACATGCTCCAGCTTACGGGGGTGTGTTGGAGGATAAAAATGTAATCCTCCCCTTCCATTTTATTTTCCTTTATTTCCCTTTTATTTCTTTCCCTTTCTTTCCCTTATATAAACAAAACCAGTGTAAGAATATTGGACTTACCATCAATAATAACTTTCTTTCTTGTTCATCTTCTGCACCTCTTCTTCGCTCCATCTCTGCCTCTTGTTTATCTCTGCTTTTTGTTCATTCAATGTAATCCCTATTCCGACAAAAACTGCCAACGTTGGCCAGAACCCACTGCATAAATAATTTTGTCAGCAACCCACTAATTATTTAACTAAGAATAAGCAAATACGTACACACCATTAAATTTATGGAAACAGACACCCTATTAACCTGAAGAGTATAATAAATCCATATGCCTCAAGAATCATACCCAATATAGGCCACCCAATAACAACCAGGAAAAAGCCTACACCAAATGACATAGTTCCCTACACACAATGAACAAAAGAACAAGGTAAACTAATAAATTTTAAAATGAAGTGAAAAAATAAATAAACAAAATGAAAAATGAGAAACAATACAAAGTTACAAAGATTCAACCAATGTGAGGGGAGGGAGATGTGGAAGAATGAATTGAAGGGAATGGTGAGGAGAAGAACATCAAAAGAAACAAGTATTAACCTTATAGTTAGTATGTTTCGTGAAAAACTGCATGGATGATTTAAGATCAATGGTTAAGGCCACCCCTGAGAAGAAGAGGATCTGATTCAGTAAAACAATAACAGGTCAACAACATGAACAAGGAATTGAAGTAGCATATGGAAATAAAAGCCTGAAAAATAAATATAGTGTGGCAATTAATCCCTTATCAAAGAAGAAAATGATTCCCAAGAATGAGAAAAATACTCCAAATCCAGTCAACCCTAGCCCAATCTCTGTTTCATTAAGGCATCACAAGCTTGTTAGTGATCATACCATTTGGAAACATAAATTTCTCTCTTCATTTCATAACCCAAATTTTATTTGGATTAACCAGTGCACACTTAAACTCAGCAGCAATAAACATAAGAACTGCAAATTTGAAGAATTGAAAAGAGGGGACCAAATAAATTAACTAACTGATGAACAGTAAATCCTAAATGGAAACTTGCAATGCAATTTCTCAAGATTATAAATTAGTCACCTTTTCAAAGTACAAAGTTACTATGTTTCTTTATGTGAAATGTAAACATGTCATTTTCTTTCTATGAAGAGTAAAATTCGAGAAAGCTTCATTAAATCTATAAACATCCATGCCTACAAGAATTAAATTAAAAACACAATTGCATGAACATTGTTAGATAAGGTCATTGTTGGAATGATCTGGTTAAATATCTAGGTATGTGCACTACTGTTATTGAGAATTCTATTGTGTCTATCTACTGTCACTTCCAGTAAGATCAACCAAATGCATGAACTATACACCTGCTTTTATAGTGGAAAGAGTTTGTTTCAACTCCTACTATACAGTGAAGTTAAACCAATACTCTTTCTGTCAAATTTGGAGTTCAGGAGTAAGGGTGGTTCAAAAAATAGGAGAAAGTCAAGATGGCGAGCTGTCGTAGGCTCCTAAATTAAAACCTTACAAACGTAGTAGCGGGAGTAAGGATCGATCCCACGAGGAGTAACTAGTTTAACTTTTGTGCTCAAAGAAATAATGGGGGGTTTGGAATATATCGAGAATAAAGATAAAATAAAAGAGAATTTAAATAAACAAGTAATTTAATAGAACGAATAAAGCGATGAAAATAATATATTGAAACACTTATAATAGAAAACCTTGGTTAGTAAAGATCCACCACCGGAGTTTAACGCTGATCATTGATTCATAAAGTAATTAATATGCAATTGAATATTTGTCGTGAAATTATTTCATTTCTGTTTTCCCTTAGTTGTAGGCAAATAAAGCACAAGCGGTTTAATTACCCCTAACTACTAAATAATCTAAGACAAGCGCTATAGATTTAATTTAATAGCAGCAATAGGAACTAGGAAAACCAACAAACTAAATAACACAAGCACAAGCGGTTGCATTTAATTTAGGAAAATATTCTACCCGAGACCAATTATCACTAAGCCGTCAATAATTAACCTCACTTGCTACTGAATATTAGAATAATTTGTAGCACAACATTATCTAATATAGCAAATAATTATATCAAATAAATAACTAGTAGGCATCCCTAGCAATTAAATGATACAACTATTCAAATAATTTAGAAAAATATTTAATACTCAAAATGCATTAAAACATATATATAATAAAGTTAAATAAATAACCTTACAGCGTTATGAACTCCGGGGCTTCAATTCACTAAACCAACTAGAAATTAGCCACAAATGGACATTGATAACAACTTCAACGAATACTATAGAGGAGGGAAGAATGAACATTTTACAATAGAAAAACTTCTACTATTTATACTATTCTTAAAATAAATTCAAATGAATCTCTGCCACTCATTTCCTCCTTTTGCGCATCACGCCCGAGTTATCCGCTGATTTGCCATCCAAGTTGCGCTGCATTTTGAGGAGGTCAATTTGTTGCTTTATCCCAAGCTCTGTACGAAAGAAAGAAAAGAAGTTTTTATGTTTTATTTATTTTGTTTTGTCTTTATGTTAAATGATTGGGCTAAACAAAAATAATACTTAAATAATTACCCTTGAATTGGATTATAAACTAAATGGACTCTAAATTTAAATTATTAATTAAATACTATTATAAAACCTAATTAATTAAATAAATTCTAAAATGGAATAATTAATATATAATAGTAAATAATTAATGCAAAATTATTATAAAGATGTACCTAAAATATGAGTGTAAAATATGCCTATCAAATTCCCCCACACTAAAACGTTTGCTTGTCCCCAAGCAAAAATATTATTTGCGAAGTAAATAGAAATGAAATTCCCAAAACTCATAACATATCATGAACAACAATCTGAAGCACCCCGCAATTAATAAGTTAGCACCCTGTTTGAAAATGGAGAAAACTAAATAAGTAAGCCCTCACAGGAATATCACTCATCACTCAAGTGTTTGATGGGTATAAATTTCACTCAAGTTCATTCCTATAAAATTGATCTACCATAGGCTTGCATATCTTCTCAATCACCACTACAAGAGTCATGCATGACACAAATCATAAGGACTTTTCACAGGTTGTAATGGGGCTAGGGTTAAGGTAGGGAATTTTTAGGAAATTAGCTTAAACAAAAGCTTCAAACTAGAGGAACAAATAAATACAAGTAATCCAACACCCTCAATTTCCAATCAAAAAAACACATCCCATTGAGGTACAGAATGCTTCCTCAGTATTACCAGAATTTCCCCTTACTTCATTTATTTAGAAGTAACTTCAACTCAAAATCAATTGCTGATTCTTTTTCATTTTCTCATAAATTTTCAGCAATATTCTTCTTTTTCAAACGTATATTCTTCATTTTTCCATTTCATTTTTTTCAATTTTTCATGCTTTTTTTTTTTTTTTTTTTTTTTTTTTTTTTTTTGAATCGTGAACTGCTTCCTCTTTTCTTTTTTCATAGAAGACCAACGACATATTGGCAACGAAGATACAACTCACCTCACTCTCAATCATATTAATAAGAGTAAGTGATCTCCCCCACACTTATCCTTCCCAACCTCACGTAGATTACAAAAATAATCCAAAATTTGCTCAACTAGTTATTCAGCTGGGTGAAGGCATTATTTTAGATATAAAAGGCTTGTAATGTGGTCCAAAATAAAGAAAGGAATGACCATAAAGCTCAAAGTGGTTAACAAAGGGAAATAAATCATAGGACAAACCGGTTATTTGGCTAGTGAGGCTCAAAGTCAAATAATGGCCTTAATCACATTTGAATCATGCATGGTCTAATTAGCTTTAAAAGAGAATCAAGACAAGTTCTAGAGAAACAAAATTATGGAAGAAATCACACAAAAGAAGGAAAATAAGACCGAAGTGTCAGTCAGTGGCTCAAAACACTCACAAGTTTATTGCTTACTTAATATAGCCACTACATATCAAACAAGAGATGCTAACAAACTAATCACAACTTGCCAAACTATTTATTCAATCATGTTATGCATTCCAAGAAAGAAAAAAAATATTATTTTTCAAAATAATACTTATTTTGCATAAAATATTAATAAAATATTTTTTGAAAATTATGAAATAAGAAAACAAATAATAATAAAAATTTGTTTGACATAAGCAAACAAACAATAAAACTAAATTAAGTAAACAAATAATAAAACTAAATCTCCTCCCCCACACTTATTATCAACATTGTCCCCAATGTTGAATAAAAACATGCAGAAAAAGGGTTATTGAATGAGAATAGGGAATAAAATAAAATAAAATAAAATAAAAATGGAACAAACACACCTTAGGTTGCCTCCCAAGCAGCGCCTTTGTTTATCGTCGTTGGCTCGACTTATGATATATCTTTAAATTTCCATCGTCTTTTTGAGTACCTTCGATGATTATGAGTATTCAAAGAAATAGTCCCGTCATGCAGACTAGTACTCAAAGATGATTTATTATTTTTTTCTTCTTTATTTTCATTATAAGCAATTGCCTCAAATTTAACTAGATTCAAAGAATCAACAACGATTGCAAAATTATCATCACTAGGAGATTTCATGGTATCATAAATATTAAAAGTCACAAGTTTACCATTGGACTCCATTGTAAGCATACCACTATGAATATCAATTTTTGTTTTTGCAGTTTTTAAGAATGGTCTTCCTAACAAAATATGAGAAATTTTACTATCATCTTCCATATCAAGCACATAAAAATCAGCAGGAAAAACCAAGTTATTAACTTCAACAAGCAAATCCTCAATCACACCCCTAGGATATGTAGTAGATCCATCAGCCAATTGAATGACTACATTAGTTTTATTCAGGGGTCCAAGATTTAAAGAATTATAAACAGAATATGGCATGACATTAATAGAAGCTCCTAAATCTAACATAGCATTTTCAAGTTTCACACCACTTATCATGCACGGAATAGTAAACATACCTGGATCTTTGCACTTTTCAGGAAGATTTCCTTGACTAGCCATAGAGACATTCTCGTGCACTTTCACTTCATCAATTTCTTTATTTTGTTTATTTTTCAATGTGCATACCTCTTTTAGAAAATTTGCATAGCGAGGTACCTTTTTCATAGAATCTAAAAATGGTTTATTAGCCTCACATTCACGAAATGTCTCATATAAATCATTATTTGAGTTTCCTCTTATTGGTTCCAAAAGAGCTTGAGGAAAAGGGGGTACTGGTTCATAATCAGAAAAAGAAGAAAGGTTACCTTGGGACTTCTCTTTATTGACAATGTTACCTGCACTTATTTCCTTGTCTAAATCAACATTCTTTTCCAGCGACATACTTCCCACAGTAATTGCACTTACATTCTCTTTAGGATTAACGATCGTTTGAGAGGGTAATTTGCCAGAGCTCTGTGCTTCCAACCGACTTACCGTAGTTGCTAGTTGGCCCACTTGCCTTTCTAAGTTTTGAATACTAGACTTTGTTTCTTGAATACTAGCCCTTGTCTCTTGTTGGAATAGTTGTGTTTCTTGTTGAAACTGCAAAGTGTTAGTAGCAAGAGATTTAACAATATCTTCTAGATTCATACCTGAGCTAGAGCTTTGGGCTGGTTGGTGGTTGGAAGGAAATTGTTGTCTATACGTTTGAAAGTTGGAACGATTCGGAACAAACTGGTTCCCCTGTGAGTTCCCATAGTTAAGGTTCGGGTGATCCCTCCATCCAGGATTATATTTATTAGAAAATGGATCATACTTACCTTGAGGTTGTCCAGGAAAACCTCCAGCCATGTTGACTTGTTCAATAGGTTCTTCTTGAAGAGTTGGGCAGGCATCAGTTTGGTGCT